AACCACACACGCTCCATCGAACTATGATAAACAATGAATCACCCTTCGCCACCTTCGCTTAGAACCAATTAGTGTGCCGGTAAACCACACACGCTCCACTAACATCTTAGCAAGGTGCAAAGTGTAATTTCATGGAATTGCATCAATTCACTTTTCCTAAAGTAACTAAGATTGGGAAATTTAAAAAAATTTAGTTACTTCGTATTTCTTATTATACTTTTAATGAGAGGATGAGGTTGCCCTATCCTACCCGTTCGGCTAACGACCCTCCACCAATCAAGCAAGCGGTGGGTGTGAGTGTACACCCATTAAGCGCCATTTTATAGGCCGCAACCTTATACCCACCTTATAGATCGGCTTCGTGAATGAGGCCTACTAGCGGTAAGACTAGCATTTAGTTATACATATATATATTATTCTAATAAATCATATAAGTATAGGGTTGTATTTTAAACTTTTCAAAATCTAGGGTTTGAAATTTAAGTTGTCTAAATTAAAGCTTTTAATCACAAATTTAAATTTCAAAACTATAGGGTAGGTTTTAAACATTTAAAAACATGGAGGATCAAATAACAAATAATTTCAATTAACAATTAATATCTTAATTATCTTTATTTGATTTATCTTTGATTTCTTTGAGGATAATTACCAAAAATAATTAAAACAATTAATTAATTATCATATAAAGAAACTAAATATTTAATTAGTTGATAATTACCTTTAACTAGATCAAGATAACACTTATATTTATCAAAAAAACGGATTCATATTGATCTAATTAGTTTATGGTAAGTTTGGATAAGATAAACACAAAGAAATCCCGAATCTGGCCTTTCCTGACGCTTGGACTCGCCGAGTACACAAATGGACTCGCCGAGTCAGGCCTACTCGCCGAGTCCACTTTGGAACTCGACGAGTCAGTGACTCAAAACCAAAAAATCGAATTTTGCAGGTTTGTTTCAGTTATACAAGCAACAATTTGTAGAAAACCAATCTAGGCTCTGATACCACTGTTGGGTTTTAGCCATAAGAACTTTCCTATGTGCGCATGCAAAACCCTATTGCTTGGATCTAGGCTTTCTATCAAACATGCTTTTGAATCCAAGACTTCTAATGGCTAATTAGGTTAAACAATAACATTAATACAGATCTAGAATCATACCTTTGAGTTCCTTGTTGATCTTCTTGTCTTGGAGCTTCTAGAGTCACAATTGTCACTCCTCTAATGGCTTACAAACACCAATAGCAAGCAAGATGATTTAGGAGAGAGGAGAGGGGATGGAATTCGGCCAGAGGTTCCTTGCTTTAGGTTCTGAAAGCTTGTACACGAATTCCACACCCCAAGGGCCTATTTATACCTTTAGACTCCTTAAGGGTTTCACCCTAAACCCTAATTGGATAATCTTCACTTAAGGCTATCCAAATCCATTCCATAGATATCCTTATGGACTATTTTGAGCTATCCTAAAGCTCTTAGAAACCGTCCAAAGTCCATCCTAATGGATTTATAGTCTAAAGTCTAACTATCAAACAATTGACAGTTTATACCCTCTTATTTAATTAATCTCTTTAAGTCACCAAATTAATACCAATTAATCTATGACTTATATTAATCAAATAGCTAAATATTATTCCTTATAATATTTACTCTCTCTTAACAAATCATCCTTCAAGTTGCTATGGTGAAGGCAACCCAAAAGGACCATGCACCACCGAATATAGTTATAGCCTTAGACACTATTCCAACACCATTGTTATTGGCTCAGGTGTTGCTGCTACTATAGGTACTTGCTCATTCGTTGGTGGTTGATTCCTGTTTTCATCAGCATTTCCAACTCCGCTTCTTGTTCTCACCATTTTTTATCTATACACCGAATAAAGTGAAATTAGATCCTCTTTCACGATAAGATTTCAATTCATCCTTATTACTTCAAACGATTACATGCTAGTTCTAATATCGTATACATACGCTTAGAATCCTAAACACATAAACCTTCAGATCCGGTTGGCAACAAACAGTAGATCCGAACAAATAATATCATATATGGCAACATATAACATTTAGCACATAAAAGCATTTTAGGCAACTTTCCTAAAATATACTAGTGCTCGTGTATAAAATTTTATAGACGCTCAACTCAAATTTCCACTTAGCATTCTAAGTTTAAGTCTATAAATCCTACAAATTCCTAGTTCGCTTAAACTAATGCTCCGATACCAACTGTGACATCCCCAAAATCTCGGCCAGAAAAGACCGGTTTCATTTATGTTTTTTAAACATTTTCAGAGTAAATCCTTTTGATTTTAAAAGAGATGCGGAATTTGTTCCCAAAAACAAAACATGATAAAATAGATTTTTATCTAAACATTTCATAAAGAAATACAATTTCATTTCATAATCAAAATCGGGATGTCATGTTCCGATACAGACCATAAAGCATAAACGATAACATTACAAGTCATTCAACAAATATATACATATACAGACTTGTAAACAAAACATCTTGATGATTCATCCATCTTATGCCCTCGTGCCACTTCCTGTAATACAAAGAAACTGAGTGGGTCAGGCTTGGGAGCCTGGTGAGCATATAGGGTTTTCAACCCGCAATAAATAATTATATTTAATTTCAACAATCAACAATAACCCGATTACTCATTCCCGTTATCCTCACTTTACGTCCCTAAAACAACATCTATTATAAGGAACCTAATTTAGGATTTTCATCGGGACGGACATTACTACAAGGGGTTTCCTCAGCAATAAATGTCCTAAAGGCAACCATGGGGTGATAGAGTACACCAGTGAATACATCGTTCACAATGCCTACAGGTAATGAGCCTACTATTGTTCCACATGACTGTCTAGAAAGAGTCTGTGATCGTTATCCATACTTCGCTGAATAACTAGATCAACAACAACGACATTGAGGTCTCTCATCTGTTTATCACACATCAACTATCTACCCATGTTCTATCTAACATATCAGTAGATAAAATATATATATTTTTATACATAGTTTAAAAACTGTATATAGCATTCTCATTCAATACATATTCCAAACAACATATGAGATACATACACATAACACGTATTTCATAGTAAACAAGTCATATCTATGAGATAAAAGAAGGTGAATATACGTTCACACATATAACAACAAAATATACACATAACATGTATTTTATATAAAATACTTCATAGTTATGCGTTAGAAGAAAGTAATTACACACTCACTTGATCAAAAGATGATCGGACATCACTACAACTTGTAGAAGTAGTATTCTTCGGTAGATCTGGAAGATCTTCACAAAAACCGGGCTCCTTGTGGGTAGAACATCGGCCCAGGAATTGTACTTTTCGGGATCTTCGGGACTTCGAAACTTGCTTCGGGACTCGGGAATGATACCGAGGCTTCAGGATATGATTAGCATGCAAACCAAGGCGAAAACTAGAGAGAAAGAAAGAAAAATGGCAAGGCAAATGGCTGATCTCGGTTTCTATTTATAGGTTGTTGGGTCTGGGATTACGCTGGCGTAACTTCCAAGTACGCTGGGCGTACGCTTCAGATAAGCTTTGGTATGTGTGCCACAATCTTCAAAAATTCATAACTTTCGCAACGAGCTTCGTTTTTGACGTTCTTTATATCCACGCGTAGGTGAGATTATGCTCTACAACTTTCATTTAGACTCCGTTGGCTAATTTTGACTTTATTTTTTATTATTTATTTTTAGTAGACCGGGACAGAAAAACTTCGTTAGAAATTCATAACTTCTTCGTCTGACGTCCTTTTTCGTTCCTCTTTCTGTTGTTGCACTACCATCGACGAGATCTTCGATTCTCGTTTAGAAAGTTTCGGCTAAAACTCGCTCGATCTCAATTCGAACTTTTGGGTTGTCTTCTACTAAGTTGAAACTTCGAAAAATTATAACTTCCTCATACGAAGTCAGATTTAGGCGTTCTTTTTATGCAAGCTCTCTGTTCAACATTATGTATGTCTTTCGTGTTGATCACTAAGACTAAATATCACTCCTGCGTAAATTCACTATTTACGTCACGCTGTATCACACCGGTTTTGTCGCGAAACTTCGACAAGTCATAACTTCTTCGTTATAACTCGGATTTCAGCATTCTTTATATTTTCGGAAACCTCGTCTCAACCACTACATCTTCGTGCATCCATATCGGGTTTATATAACATTTCATTTTTACGCTTATTTATATTCTTGATTAAATTAAATCACATAATTAAGCAGATAAGTATAAAACACATAATTCGCAAACAATACATTCTTATTATTTCAAATTGGGTTACAAAGTTTAACCTAAACTATTACAGTCCTAAAAATTGTAAGCCCAGAAACACGGGCTTTACAAATTTACCTTTGAAATATTTGAAATTGTTCATATTTTACTATTATGAAATCAAGGATAAAATATGAACAATATCAAATAATTCATGGATAATTAAAAAATATATATATTAAATATAAAAAAATTCAATGATTAGATGTAAACAAAATTAAAAGTTATTATACCTTTTACAAATTTTACATACTTTGCTTGATCCATGAATTTGTTTTACTGTGTTTTATAATAAGGATTATCAATGGAAAATCAATATCTTTATCTCAAAGGATAAAGATATGGATTGTGTATAAAATAGTACCATATATATATCAAAGAATGTCATATTATACATTTTCATTCTTAAGTTAATAATCTACCCAATAAATTGTTACAAGTGCATTTCTAGATTTTATTTAAGATTTTTCATCTATAAACGACCATGAGATACACTTTTGCCTCAAAATAAACACAATACTTGGTTTGAGAAATGATGTGACTTAAATTATATTGAATACACTTTGATCATATGTTTTACGAACATATACACTTATTTAACTTAGATTCTAAATACAACATAACTATGAGTGGAGGGCGGACATGGCGGCACCTATGTACTTACAAATATAATTTTGGCTGCCTCTGTATATGATTACACCGAAGCCATTGTGATCTCATATCTCCTCATCAGAGGTGTCTCTCCAACTGCAATAGACTTGGTGTTAACATGAGACGAAGACCAATCAGAGCCACCATCATTCCACGCCAACCGAGCCAAAGAAGTATCAGCTTCATCAACACCAGAAAATAAATGTGAAAACGGATTTACAGTCTCCGGCACCAGTAACGCACCTTCTAACATCTTCACAACGATGCTCATCCCTGGCCTAGTCTCCGGCTTATACTGAACGCAACAAAAAGCTACCTTAAGTATCCTCTCAACAGCTTCATGATTCTTCTCCTCGATCCCACAAACACTCATCAAATCCTTCAACTCTTTCTTTTCGTATTTCCGCCACACCCATATCGGAAACCACTCTTGACTATCACCAAGACGCTCGTCCATGTTCCTCCTCCTTCCGATGATCTCAAAAAGTAGCATACCAAAACTATAAACATCACATTTGTGTGTAACTGGAAGAGCTAGCCAGAGCTCGGGGGCGGCGTATCCCGGAGTACCACGTCCTCCGGTCATCGTTATATGAGTGTTATCCCTGTTACAGAGTTTAGCTAAACCGAAATCCGCCACTTTTGCACAAAACTTTGAATCCAAAAGTATGTTGCCTGGTTTGATATCGTAATGAATGATTCTTTGAAGACAATCTTCATGCAAATAAGCGATTCCTCTTGCAGTTCCCAGAGCAATCTCGTAGAGCTGCTCAAACCCTAGAACAGCTCCTGTATTCGCTTTAAACAATTGTTTATCCAAAGAGCCGTTGACCATGTACTCGTATACAAGAGCTCGTAAACTTTATTCAAAGCAAAACCCATAAAGCCTGACGAGATTAAAGTGATGGGTTCTTCCTATTGTGCTTACTTCCGCCATGAATTGCTCTTCAATTCTCTTGTCTGAGGTTCCGTTTAGTACTTTTACAGCTACAGCTATGCTGTTGCTAACAAGGCCCTTGTAAACTGTCCCGAACCCACCTGAACCCAATAAGATACTGAAGTTGTCTGTCGCTATTCTTAACTGTTGAGAAGTGAACCGGATCGGCTTTTCTGTTTCCATATCATCCAGGAATTTAACCATAGTGAGCGGAATAAACCGGGAGTCGTCACCGAATTCTTCCGTTTGCTTGTTATTAACAGCGATTTCATCCTTTTGCTTCTTCGCTATATTGCATAAACAGTCAATGATCGATACCACAAAAGCTGCAAAAAGAAACTGTTAACATCGATCTGGATTTTTTAATAAAACCACACCTGCCATGAAGGGAATGGAAGAACTTACCGACGACAAAAAAAGGTAACGAAAACACCAATGAGCACACGAATCTCTGTTGGCAAAGGAGGGGTAGGCGAATAAGAACCAGGAGAGTCCATTAAGGATTTAAGGATCAAGGATGTATACAGAACCAAAGAGTTGTTTACACGGAGGTTTCTGATAGGGTTTAATCTATGTATTTTTATTCTTTTAAAACTGAGAATATACTCCATAGAAAACGATCATGCATGCTATAGTAGTACTTGGTGTTTAAGGATTTGTACATTACAGTCACTTTAAAGTCTATACAAGCCAATTAATGCCAACTGCATAGAAAAATGGGCCTTGATTCTTCAACGAAGAATTTAATTAAGCCTCCAACGAAGAATTTAATTAAGCCACTGAAATTAAAAGTTCATTACAAGTATTTACCCTTATTTAGATAAATTGGAGATTTTAATTCCGTTTTGTTGCTTCTTCTTAGAGCAATTATACCAAAAATAAGGAATTGTATAACCTCCATTTTATTTTTCTTTTAACGTATTGACATTTTATAACCCTATTTTTTTTTCCTTTGCTCTTCCTTTATCGTATACACCAATATTTTTTCTATAATAAATAATATATATGTTTTTTTTTGCCATTATTTACACCATCAAGTTTTTTAAAGAGGTTATAAACATATTAATCACATAAAACTATCAAACAATCAACCACTTAAAAATTTTGATTAAATTCTAATGCGCCGTAACCTTCAAAATTTAAATTTGTGGAGCCATCACAAATACTAAAATCTTCACCAACTTCTATCTTTGTCTTTCAAATAAGCAATGAATTATTTGACAATATTAGTTATATAAGTGATGAGAATGCATTGTCTCAAAGTGGTGGAGTTAGATGAGGCGTTGGGGTACTACAACATCCCCAAAAAATTGTTTTATGTATATAAAAAAATTTATTTTTAAACATGTTATATGTTATTGTACCCCTAGCTAAAGATGTTGTACCATGGTTTTTAATGTCTAACTACATATAATATAAATTGATAACGTTTGTATCCTCATATCAAAATTCTTGGCTCCACCACTATGATCTGGGCTTTTTATATGACAAGTTTCAAGTTCGAAATCTAAGGCTTGTCAATCAATTGATTTAAAAGTGTATCCAACTTTCTCACTTAACCGGTTTCGGCTTAAAACCAGTAAAAAATCGATTTTCGCTTTAAAATATCTTATTCCTAACCATCGGTTTGGTTTTCTCAAAACCTGTTTATAACAAAACTAGTTTGGTTTTTTCCTACCGGTTGTAAAAAACCGGTTCACTTTGTACACCTCTAATATGAGTAGTTTGAATAAATCGATATGCATTCGAAATTTTTTATTGAACAATATTTTATTGTGATTTGATTTACTTTAGTTTGAAGTTATGTTATTTTTCTATTAAATGATTGATTGTGTAATAGTTTTATTCTTTATAAAATCTTCTGAAAAAGTTAGTTGTGCGAAGATTTACCAAAGAAAAAAATAAATATTTAGATAGATTCATTGTAAAAAAAATGGAAATGAAAACAACAAAGGGAAATTTTTTTCAGAAAATGGGTATAAACTGTCAATATTTTATTTTTAATATAATTGGCTTCGGATGAAACAGCCCAAGAAGAAATCTAGCCATATACTATAACTTATACAAGTAGGGGTATAACTGTCATTAGACTCCTAAATTTAATGGATTAAGAAAATTCTTTCCGTATTAAAAAGATTCTACCCTAGCGATATAGTGGTGTTTTTTCTTTTTAAATCAAAGATTCTAAGTTTTCATATTTACCAGTTTCAAAATAAATAAAATACAATAAAAATTCTGCCATGGAATATCATTGCCCTAGAAAAATGACGTTCAGCGTTAGTATACGAAATTTCGTTGGCCTTGTCGTACTCGGTTGTTTTTGTACGCATGTTGCAATTGTCTACCACTGACAGCTTGGAATTTTTTTTTTCTGTTTTTTTGGATGTTGCCATAATATTTTATCTTATTTTTAGTTTATAACCTTTATCGTTATGTTTTTATTTTTATTATATATTGTACATTTTTTTCTAAAATATATAACTACAATTTATATTTAAGAGTAAATTAAAAGATATTTAGCCCATATTTTTAAAAATTAACTCGGACAGTCTCTAATATCATTAAAAATTGCATGTTTCATTCCTCATTAATTTAAATTGCATGTTTATCCCTTACGGCACATAAAAAGATTATAATATACTTTTCCTATTATTATTTATTTATTTTTAACATTGTTGACATTTTTAGTTATTAAAAACTATTTTAATTATTTTTCTATTTTGTTGAAGGTCGGACCACCACCACAACAAGTAATCATACCACCATCAGAAAATATAGCAACATCACACCCTTCACCGGAAAATGGAGCACCACATTTCCGACAACTACCATGCTTTCGACAACCGTTTGTAATCATGTAAGATTTGTTTATCTTTATGTTTCGTATCAGTTATGAATCCCTAAGCTTTTATAAATCAATGAAAACCATTTATTCAGAAATACTTTTTATGGAAAAATTCCGTTTTTATAAATGCACTTTGTTTAAGTAAACATAAATAAAAAGTTTTAAATGACCGTAAAAATACGGTGTAACACCCTAATCTTCAAGTAATTTCAAATTCATCAATTGGGTTGTAATTATATCATTTTTAGTCCTTGGATTAGAAAGGAGTGGCCACGGGAAGCCCTAGCGGCGCAATGATAATTTATGGGGCAGGAGTTGTATGTTGGGCGTACATGTGAGTACGTTAAGCGTACTAGGGCGCGTCTAGTACGTTGGGCGTGCGCATATGTACGCAGGGCATACTTGTGTCTAGGTGAAACCCTACCTTATAGGGTTTATGGAGTATTTAAGCATCATTATGGACCTTTTTTCCACATCTTTTCAGCCTCCAAGTTCTGAAATCGTTTTTGGCAAACCCCAGTGGCGGACGAAGAATGTTTTAATAGAGGTGTCCCTCGTACTTCAAGCCGGTGCACCTAATAGAACAAACAAAAAAAATTTACACTACGTGCCGGAAATTGAGCAGTGGCCCGGGACCCCTAATGCTCCTTAAGGTCTGCTACTGACAAAACCTAACTCCTCTAGTATGTGTGTGTATGAGTTAAGAGTGTGTTTTTTGTATGGCCGAAGGAGAAGTTAGTGCATCAAATGAGTCAATGAAGGAAGCAAGTTTGTAGATCTGGGATTATCATCTTCTTGGGAAGCTTCAGGAGGTATAAAGCTTCTACCTTTATGCTTGGATTGTTTAGATCTTGTTTTGGTAGCTTTTTGGTGTTCTTCTTGTCCCAAAAGTCCCATTGTTATGCATGCTTTGTTTTGGACGTTTTGAGTTGTCCTATCAGACCCTATGAAGGGTTCTAAGTTATATAAATGAGGTCCATTTGGTTGGTTTGGCTTCATGTTGCTAATAGGAGGTCTTAATGGATTAAGACCATGCATTAATCCCTTTTTGGAAGACCAAAGTCTTAAAGTTTGAGACTTTATGGTTCTTCAGTGTTTTTGAGCCATGGATCTGAAACTTGGGCTTAAGTGCTTGTATGCCTCGCGTACTTGATCAACCTCCCCGTAAATTGGTCAATGCGAGGTCTTGTGTTCGTTGAGCGTAGCTCCAACGTACGCCCCACGTACATGACTGTTTTTGGGCTCCTTTGCTTTGGGCTTCAGGTATTGGGCTATATGTTAGGCTTTGATCCTAAGGCCCTAAGGGACTATCTGGATAAGTCTGTTTTGGGATAACTAGAGGATCAGACCTTAGATAAGGCCCAATAAAGAGTTGGGCCTAATTGGAAAATTGGGCCAAGTGCGGGCCTTGAGGTAATTTGAGCCTTTTGGATCAAGATTCATGTTTGGTTTGTTGTGGGTTGTGTTGGGCTGTCTGGGATTTTATGGTTTGGGCTTTTGGCTTTTTGGATCTTCTTGAGTGAAGGCCCAATTTGGAAAGTTGGTCCATAATTGGACTTAAGAATTTATTTTTATATTAGGCCTTTTATCATCTAGTTTGGGCCTTAGCTTTGGGCCAAGCTTAAGGAAGGGTAAAAAGGTCTTTTACCCTGAATTGGACTCGTATTATGAGTCACCGACTAAATGTTGATGAACTGTCTTTTTGGTATCTTAGCGAGTGTGTGATAGTGGATCTACAACTAGAGGTTATTCATGAAAACCATTGATGGGGAAATGTCTTTGATGTGGCAGTTCGGGATCTGGCAGCCAACAGCCAGGGATCATCTGTGACATCCCCATTTTCACGGGTAGAAAAGACCGATTTTGTTTATGCTTTATAAAAATCAGATGTAATACCCCGTTAATTTATTTATTAAATAAGTAAAGTAATAAATACATAATAGCCCTAAAAGCGGAATAGTGTGGCAAGAAGTTAGTTACGGGGGTTAAAAAGTCATAATTGAAAGTTTAAAGGGCTAAAATACCATCATCAGGATTTAATTTGAATAGATTTTGGGAAGGAGGGACTGTTTATGTTGTTATGGCATAATGTTTAGTAGCCTCGGGTATAAAAACTTGCTTCACCGGTTAGCAAACCCTAAACGCCCCCCTTATGTGCAGCCGTCACCCCTCCTCCTATCACCTCCCGCGTCGCCTCCGTAACACTTCAGTGAGCCAAGAGCGACTGCCATCACGACTTCGACGAAGGGATCGAGCTCGACATCGGGGCTGATGTCCTTTTCTCAACCATCGCCACAGATGATGAAGTCGGAGGCCACCATCGCTGTCGTTTGGTTCTTCCTCCACTTCTCCCGGCGACGGATCTCCTTTCCTCTCAGCTCCATTCTGTGTTGCTGCTACGCCGCCACTTCATCTCTTCTTCTTCTGTCGTCAAGAAATCGCCGCCATCGCCTTATCGAGCAGCGGGTGCGGCTGTGGATGGCGTTTTTCTCCGACTGTCGTGAGCTACCGTGGGGGTGGCTGTGATTAGGTGTGTTCCTCTTGCTTGACTTGTGTTAGTGTGTGCGTATGCCTTCTGTTGGCTGGAAAAACGTGGGAACCACCATGGCTTCCCACCATGGTGGCCATTTCCTTGCTGTCACCGCAATCCGCCGTTGATTGCCACTAGAGTGTTGCTGCCGTCGCCACCCACCACAGGTGGGTGTTGGATTCGTTTTGCAAGCAGAAATTCATATGGGTGTGTGTGATCGGTGATTTCATTTGGTCAGAAAACTGAAAACAGCCACCACCACCGCCGTGAGGTGGTGGTTGCCGCTATGCACCACCGCCGGCCACCTCAAGGTGGTTTGTGTGTGTTTAATGTAGTTAACGTGTGTTTATTTTTGGTTAAGGCATTGTAAAGTGTAATTAGCTAAAGTATAATGAAATGGAATTGAAAACCACCACCTTAGGGTGGTGGTTGCCGCCACCGGCCGCCGTGTCGGGTGGCGGTGTGCTTTTCCTCTAGTGATAGATTCGTTTGGGGTGCTAGAAACCCTAATGGGCTCAAAGGAGCTCTAATGGACCCAGTGAAGATTAATGGACTCTAATGGACCCAATTAAACCCATATGGGCTTAATAAGATTTTAGTGGGCTTATTAGGCCCAATAAAGCCCTAATTGTCATAAAAGGCCAACAAATTGATAAATGGGCTAACATTTGGATTGGAACACCATAATGCCAATAAAACCCTAATTTGTGGAAACTACTTAGGGCACACACGAGAATTTAATTATTAAATCTTAAATAATAATTAATAATCATTGGCAAACTAGCGTAGGGCATAATGGACTTAATGGATTAAGTCCTTAATGGGTTAAGAAAGAAACATGGAACCTTAATCATCATTTCATGTGAAAACTCTGATTTGGGATTATGGGCTTGGACTTATCGAGACCCACGTTTGGGACATTGGAATGGAATTGTGTGATTAAGCCCAATCACACCATATGACTTATTTAGAAGAACGATGGACTTAATGGATTAAGTCCTTAGAGGAATAATTCCTTAATGGGTTAAGTAGGAAACTTAACCCTAATCGACATTTTATGTGAAACCCTAACTTCACTTGGGTTTATTGTTGGGCCTTTCTATTGGGCCTTAATGATTGGATTATTAATGGGCCATCCAAGAATAATTATATGGGCTAAAATAATTTAATGGGCCTAGGGTAAGTCCTAGGTAAGGGGTGGGCCCAATTTGGAAAATTGGGCCATAGATGGACCATAGTTGGGCCTTAATGATTTTATAATGTTAGGCCATAAGACCTAGGCCCAATTTGGAAAATCGGGCCATATGTTGGGCTTTGATTCCTAATTCGCTTTGGGCGTATGGTTTGGGCCTTGGGCTTGAATAAAGCTAATCTCAGGGTAATGTAGTAATTATCCAAGTATGTATTTATGGTTATGTGTTGGGACCCAATTATTATTTGGGTGTTATTTTGGTGTTGATAGTTCGGGAATCTATCATCCAGCAGTTGTGGTTGAGTCCGCGGGACTTCAGCAGTGTGGGGTTGTGACTACGGGACTTCAACAATATGAGGTGAGTTACCTTCCAGTAGCGGTGGGTCTACGACCACAATGCCGGCCCACCAGTAGGAGTTGTATGTTAGATGATTGTCTTTGTGATATCATCTAGGTTTGCTACCACCTGATATGTTATATGCTGGCATGATATGTTATATGTGATAGTAGTAGAGTTCGGTTGTTAGGACCCAAGGGTAGGTCAGACACCCCAGATATGTTTGACAGCATGTGATGATATGTTTATATCTTGGCATGATATGTTATGTGTGATAGTGGTAGTAGGAGGGGAATAGTCCCCAAGTTCGGTTGTTAGGACCGAAGGGTAGTTCGGACACCCCAAGTATGTCTGATAGTATGTTTGTGTTATGATATTTGTGATAGTAGCTGAGTGTGGGCAAGGCCCGTATCTCAGAGATAGTGGAGTGTGGGTGAGGCCCGTACCTCCATGAGTGTGGGCGAGGCTCGTATCTCCTAGTTGTTTAGTATATGATTGTATATACTTTTATGTTATGGTTTAGTAGCTGAGTGTGGGCAAGGCCCGTATCTCAGAGATAGTGGAGTGAGGGCGAGGCCCGTATCTCCCAGCTAGCGGAGTGTGGGCGAGGCTCGTACCTCCATAAGTGTGGGCGAGGCCCGTATCTCCTAGCTGTTCATTATATGATTGTATGGTATTTGGTATGATGGGGGAACTCACTAAGCTTTGTGCTTACGGTTTTCAGTTTTGGTTTCAGGTACTTCGTGTTTAAAGAAAAGGAGTCGGCTTGATCGCAGCGCATCACACTATGGTTTTCCGCACAAGAGATCTTTGGGATTACACTCTGATATTGTTTTATGATAACATGTTTGATTATTTCTACTTTGGTTTTGACATGAAATAATATTACAGATGTTTTATTACACTGTTTGTTTTAAAATGACGTAAT